AGCACACCACAACACCTGGCTAATTTTTGTATTTTTAGTAGAGACGAGGTTTCATCATGTTTGCCAGGCTGGCCTCAAACCCCTGGCCTCAAGCAATCCACCTGCCTCAGCCTCCCAAAGTGCTGGGATTACAGGCATGAGCCACCATTCCCAGCCTGGAGCCATTATTGAGTAAAATAAGGGTTACCTGAACACAAGCACTGTGATATCACAACAGCTTATCTGACACCTGGGACCACTAAGAAGTGGCTGATGGATGGCTAGCATCTACAGCATGGATCCACTGGACAAAAGAATGATTCACATCCAAGGCAGAATGGAGCAGGATGGTGAGAGATTTCACCACATAACTCGTGCAATTTAAAACTTATGAATGGTTTATTTCTTTAATTTTCCATTTAATGTTTTTGGACACCAGTTGACCATGAGTAAGCAAAACCCCAGAAGGTGAAACTGCAGATAAGGGGACTACCGTATTAAGTACTAAAATGTGTTCAAAACGTTTTTATTAGGTACAAAAAAATGCAACATTCAAAACCTTGGAAGGGCAGGCACTTATCAGATTTCAAGGTTATTTTTCACTTAGCTTAGGATCATGCAAAGGTCTAATCTCTTTGTCAAGAAAAAAATCACATTGCACTGTACTCTATTTTTAACGACAGAATGCACATTCAGTGACCTTCACAAATTCCCAAATTAGTAGCATATAATTCTACCTGTAATATGTGGATTTTGCCCTGAATAAAGCATTCACTAAAATGGATTCAAAAGGAGTCTTCTTTTCACAAAAGTAACTTACATAGGAGATCTCGGTCACAACCACATCTCCCATACTCATCTTCATTTCATGCAAGTTTCTATTTTCTGCCTGAAAACTACTGCATTTTTCTGATCTCTTCAGTTTTGGTACTAACACTAGTTGGCCATCTTTTTAATATCATTTTTTTAGGGGAAAAAATCACTCCCAGACCTTTTCTACATAAAAGTGATGAGTAGAGAATAACAAAGCCCCAGTGAGATGCCACTATTTGGTTCCTACCACCCCATAAATTCAGAGGATTTAAACTCCTGCCTCAGCAAAATTAGAAAGCACTGTACACCTGCAGGTTGACTTGGGACTGTCCACCCTGTCAAATTCATTCACCACGTTCCCAAGGCCTGCAGGAAGAGCCAGTCCATAGACGGCTTTAAACCAGGCCCTTCCAACCTGTGTAGTGTCACAAACCACATCAAACAGTAGATGTCACTCTGTAATAGCCACTACACTGCACATCCAAACAGAAAATAAGTAACAGATTTATGATAGCAAGTTATTTGTACAACTGTCTCCTAAAGGTATATATTAATTTAAAAAAAAAAAACCCCAAACTGCATTAACAGATTAATTTTAATTCAAGAGAAAAGAGCTCTCTACATGTCTCCTGCTATTGTAACAATAAATACCCATGCTCAAGTTTCACTGTGAATTTCCCCTATTTTAAGTCCTAATGCAGTTTCTACTATCTGCCCTTAAAAGATTCTTGGAAGCACTTTTGCTAGTATTGCCTTCCACAGGATCTCCTCCTGAGAGTGTCAGTTACCAACAAGTCAAGTGGCACACTATGTGAAAGAGGCCGGCCTGCCAGGAAGCTCAGGGCATCTGGGCTGCAACAGATAAGCACAAGAATGTAATTTCAGACTTCCACAAACATCTTATCTCCAGCGTCCCTTCCTCCAAGGTGAACTGAATAATGTGGTAATATCCTGCTGGGTCAATCCCAAGTTTCTCACCTGTAACTCTTGATGCAAAAGGGAGACTACAGTCTTTAATACTAAATTCTGATATTAAACTATCCACTGAAACTGACTCCTTTCAACTCAAACACTTGTCTAATTCAAATTACTAACATTTTGTAATAGGATAATCACATTTTAACCATGAACAGTGCATGCAAAGATTCTCCAAAATGGACCACATGTTTATATTTTGTTCCCACCTTCTAGTTTGTAGGGATGACAGACATTTCTTTCACAAGCAAAATCAGACACCAGAATAATCACATGCTATAGAGATAAAAGACCTCAGCCCTGTGTTTTATTATTTCCCCAGTGTCCAGTACAGGAGATAGCACTGAGCAGCAATTATAGAGCTAATTCGCCACCACAGGGAACATGTGAGACCAGTACAAAAGGGTGCCTTGGCCGCTTGGCCGTCTACTGTGATCCCTGCAGAGCAAGTCTCAAGGAAAGATCACACTATGCCATAACAATAATGTTATCATTTGGGGTTGTTCCCAACCAAGGGTTCAACATCAGTAAAAGCCACAAGTATGGGGAGCATTATAAAGAAAGCCAGATGATTATATACCTGTATTATCATTTAAACATAGCCCCATGTCATAAATGTGATCCAATATCCTATTCATGATAACCAGTGACATTCATTCTCTTTGACAACTGGAAATCAGGGAAACTTTGGGGATGGGAGACGGGTGTCTGTGTCAGCTTAGTTCTTTTAAAAATGTTCTCCAAGAAATTTGAATTGATAGTGGCTTCTTCTCAGTTGCAATCTGTCACTCAGAATTATGACAATGACCAAAGAGCTGCATTCAAAATTGGAATAATTATTTTAAAAGAAAACAAAATCTACTAAAGCATCTAAATATTTGAAATCCTCAATAAGAACTTAAATTCCAAGGATTTTAGAAGAATCTGCTTCTTATTCATTTTTTCTTGTCCCTCTTCCATTCAAAAACAGTAAAGTGATCCTCAGGGAAAAACAAAATAAAAAGCAGTAACGGCCTGAGAGGTTGTAGGGGAAGTCCTTCACCTCAGCACGCGGGGAGGAGCAGCACAGAAGAACGACTACACACTGGACAGCCTGGACTAGGGAATGACAAAGCAGAGAAAAGCAGGGACTGCGGCAACTGGTTGATTGTAAAAATATGATTCTGCTGCCTTGTTATGTATTATTTGCTTGTAAGAAAAGGCATTAGCCATTGTATAAAGAAAGAAAAGGAACTGTTACTTAATTCTGTAGGACACCTAGCCTGAATGCGTTGACTTGCCTAGAATTCAGTCCAGGCATTTTCACTCAACCTCCACAGAAGCTTCTACTTTGTTTTCATTTTCAAAGAGTTATAAAAGATATGCAATTCCCACAAAAGAAGAAGAGAGAGTAGGGGTAGAGGGAGGGAGAGAGGAGGAGAAGGAAAGGAAGAAGAAAGGGAAATAAATCTCAGAATTGTTTGTAATCCTATTATATACATAACTCTAGTTTTTCTTTAGGCAATTCACTATTAGTATCTGAAGTAAAATGGTGCTATTAAATGTGAAAAGTTATAAATGAATGCATTTGGATGGGAAATAAAATCAACATTCAAATTACTAGATTGCATATAGAAGCAATGCTTACAGAGAGTAAAAACCAGCCATTTGTTTCATCTTACTGGCACTGTACTGGATATAGCTATATTACCATTATCAAGAAAGTCATTAAAAGTTATTTTCCCCTACTCTAAGGAAAAAATTTAGAGGCTAAATCCACTGTCTATATAAGCTCACCTGGAGCAATGAAGAGCAAGAGACCCAGTGCTGAATTCCATTAAGGTAAGACACAAATTCCACTACATCCCTGGATTCACCACTGGTCAAATTATGACTCCCAAACATAACTACACCCAGCAAGACTGTGCACACGTGAGTCTAGCCATCCAATCCAGCATAACCACCACGCTGCAGGGAACGAAGGGAGTCAGCACATACGGGCATGTAGTAAATCTCAAGCAATCAAATTTCAGTACTAAAGGAAAAGCAAAACCTAGCATCCACGGTATCATTTTTCTTTCTCTGTATGTCCTATAAGAAGCCCACATGTCATCTGCACTTGCTGTGTAGTTCACCTGCTGCAGTCTGCTTCTTCCATCAATGCTTCTCAAATAAGAATTTCCTACCAAAGGAAGGGTGACAAAGAGACATGGTGCACCATTCTGGAGTTCACTGAAACTATTTCTTTATCTTGAAGGGAACGGATGGAGAAAGGTTGAAGGTGTGGTAGGGAGATGAAGTCCTAAGGAAGTTGACTAGCCTTTATTCAACATTGTTTTCAGTTTAAAACATGCGCAAAAACAGTAGAATAAAATTGTGCATGGCTTTTCAATTGTTTGCAGAGGGTCACTGAAGCCATGCTTCCCCAACCTGTGGAGGTAAATGCGAATTCCTCTCAGCCAAGGGCATTATGGTAATAAGAAGCAGCCCAGAGAAACCATTTCAGTAAAATCCTAAACCTTAAGTCAAAGTCCTGTGCCTCACAAGGATACAAATGTACAAGATACTAAGGATTTAACCGTGTTTAATAATGAAAAATAGTCTTTCAGATGATGGAATAAAGCTCTACTGGAGGACTCTAGAGCCTTCCTGTCCAATAAAGTAGCCACTAGCCACATGGATTATCTGAGGTCAGGAGTTTGAGACCAGCCTGACCAATATGGTGAAATCCTCATCTCTACAAAAATTAGCCAGGAGTGGCAGCGGCGGTCTGTAGTCCCAGCTACTTGGGAAGCTGAGGCAGGAGAATTGCTTGAACCCAGGAAGCAGAGAATGCAGTGAGCCGAGATCATGCCACTGCACTCCAGCCTGGGTGACAGAGCAAGATTCTGTCTCAAAAAAATAAAAATAAAAAAAGTCACAAAGGATTATATAAGTCATGGTTGCTGGCTTTGGAAGAATCTGCTTTTCTTGTTCGTTTTATTTGTTCTTGTCCCTCTTCCACTCAAAAACATGGATTTAGAATTTTTACAGTCTCATTAAGAAGCTAAGGCACAGCCACATTAGGGGATAACTATGGACATTCAGCCACAGTCAAGTAATAATACAAGGCAGTGCTATTACGTGAGTCCACAAGAAAGAATGAGCACTTCTAGCAGGAGTTGCCAGGAGAAACTGGTGTGTCTGAACAGAGCCTGAGTGAATGGGCCAGATGGGGAGAAGAGCTAAGAGCAGTCCCTGAGGGGAGGGCTCTGGGTGGTCAGCTTAAGGCCGGGGCCATCGTGGGCTACGGAGAGCGTGTGGGGATGAGCGGGTCCCTCCGCCGAGCGGGGACAGCTCTGCTCCGCTGGGGGCGAGGCACGGGCGGCGGTGGCCTTTGGGGTCCGGGCATGCGGGCGGCGGGCTCGGGCGCGGGCAGCGGCGGCTCAGCGGAGCAGCTGGACGTGCTGGTGAAGAAGGACAAGGTGGTGGTGTCCCTCAAGGGGACGCCGGAGCAGCCCCAGTGCAGCTTCAGCAACACCGTGGTGCAGATCCTGCGGCTGCATGGCGTTCGCGACTACACGGCCTACAACGTGCTGGACGAGCCGGAGCTCCGACAAGGCATTAAAGACTATTCCAACTGGCCCACAATCCCGCAAGTGTACCTCAATGGCGAGTTTGTGGGGGGCAGTAACATTCTTCTGCAGATGCATCAGAATGGGGACCTGGTGGAAGAACTGAAAAGGCTGGGGATCCACTGCGTCCTTTTCGATGAAAAGAAAGACCAAGACATTAAGTGAGGGCGGCCAGGTCCTCGCTGGGCAGAGAGGGAGCCGTTCATGTCAGAGGCTCACTACCAGAAAAGCAAAACCGATTTTGGTTTTCACTACTGAGACAACAGCTGCTTGCACTGATCATTTTGGCTCGTGAGCAGTTGGGTGATTTTAGTTCGTCTAGTGTTTGGGCTAAGAATATTTTATGGTGGACTTAATTACAACCACTGCACTGTAATGATTCAATGCTGTATTATGATATCGCTGTAAACAAAATTCATTCTTATATTGTCATTTATTCCTGGGCCTGATTCAGGAGTTAAATAGGAGCTTGGGAATCATTATTCATGACCCCTCTGCAAATGTGTCAGTCTGCAAGGACAGTATCTTCCCCCCAGATTTAGTGTAGCTTCTTTTGTTATGGAAAATGATGGACAAAAAATAAGAGGTGCAGGGGGCGGGGGGGAGTTGTTGTTTTTTAAAATAAACTGCCAGTGCAGGGATGCTGTGCATGTCTGAGTTGATCCTGAAGCACGTATGTCTGTAAGGATTTGGAGTGCCTGCAGTGTTTTACGTGTGGGAAGAGTGATTCTCATATTCTTCTATTAAATTTGCCACAAGAATTGAAAAAAAAAAAAAAAAAAAAAAAAAAAAAAAAAAAGAGCAGTCCCTGAAAAGAGAACTGAATAAACTAAGAGGCAGAAGTGAAACTATGCACAGAGAGGTAAAGGGGCAAAGTATTAGCCCAACAGAGCCCTTCCACAGAGTAACCACAAAATATGAAGGAAAGCTACACCAGGAACCAGGGAGAGGACTGTGAGTGTTAGACCAGACTGGCCCATACTTTACAGACTATAAAGAATCCATTCAGGTCTCTAGGAAGGTTAATGACAAGAAAGAAACAGGGTTTAACATGGTGAGGTAATTCAAATAAAATTTAGAATAAGAAATCTGTTTATCTGTGATTTCAAATTCTGTGATATTTGAAGAACATCTGAATGAGTGGTACTCTAATGCCAAAACATGTTTAAGTTTTGAAATTAAGCCTCTTCTGTCAATATGTATAACTCTAAACTATACTATTTCTCTATTATAAGGTGATGGCATACAACATGGCAGAAAGCTTGAAACAGTATCTTTGGATTAATATATTGTCTTATTCTCTGTATTCTTGATGTGCTGACATCTGGGGCCTCAATGGCCTAGGAAGGACGCCCCTCCCCGGATTAGCAAATTCCCAAAGATAGTGTCTCAGAGCATGTTTCTGATAATGCAAACCAACCAATTCCAGATCCATAACCCCAACCACGTCCTTTTATGGGCTGTATGCCCCTGCCCTAATCACACAAGGACCAGGCACTGGACAATCATGGGCCACCCACTACAGCCCAGTCAGCTTAAATTATTCAAACTACACAGTCCTAAACCTGCGTAGGTTGCTCACCTGGCCCTGCCCATTCCTTCCTGCAAAAACCATAAAAAAGGCTCCTGCCCTTAGTCCTGTGGCTGTCTCTCCCTCTTTCCTCTCTGCCTACTGATTTTGCTTCGGTGCTTCCCTATGTGGCTTTGTGTAACATGTCTGCTTCTAGAGGATTGTGAGCATAACTAAAATGTCTTCCTTCATAACAATCATTTTCATGTTTCTGTGCCTTACCACACCTGATTAAAACAAATCTCAGGTACCATTAAAATAACCTCTCAAGCCTGGGCACCGCTGGTAATCCCAGCACTTAGAGAGGCAGAGGCAGGCACCAGTAATCCCAGCACTTAGAGAAGCTGAGGCAGGCGGATCAGGAGGTCAGGAAATGAAGACCATCCTGACTAACGTGGTGAAACCCCATCTCTACTAAAAATACAAAAAAATTAGCCTGGTGTGGTAGTAGGCGCCTGTAGTCCCAGCTACTTGGGAGGCTGAGGCAGGAGAATCGCTTGAACTCAGGAGGCGGAGGTTGCAGTGAGCCAAGATCACACCACTGCACTCCAGCCTGAGCAACAGAGCAAGACTCCATCTCAAATAAATACACAAATAACCTCTCAAGCCTGAATCCAGAAGGTCCTCAGGTCATGTGAATTATTTGATCTTGAAGCCCATTTACCAGGTACCTTGTGTTTCTACACCAACCCTCCTTTCCCTTATGCAGGTAACTAATTCAAGAGCCATCACCAAAATATCCCTTCTGAAAAGAACCATTCAGGATTTTCTGTGACTCAGAAGTCATTAATGGAGTTCTGACATAAATTCACTCTTAACAGTAGACTCTTCACATCACCACAAAATGCTAACTTATCTTCCATGAGGACAGGAGGCTGTCTCTGCCTTGTTCATTGTTGTATCTCCAGCACCTACGTGTGTCTGACACAGTCCACACCTAATAAATGTGTCTGATGAATGAATGAACTGTAAAGAATAGTACATGTTGATATAGACAGCCTATGAAATACAGCTTAGGAAGCAGAATAATACCAACACTCCTAAGTGGTAGGCAGCATGGCAGTAAGTTAGGAAAATGGGTTCTAGAGTTAGACTAAAGGTTAAATCCCTACTCTCCCATTTCCTAAGTGTGTACCCTTGGGCAAGTCACCTAACTCCACAAAGCCTCCAACATTTCATTCATAAAAACTGGGAAGACCAAACCTACTTCAGAAGGAAAGAATTAAACAGGCTAGTCCATGTAAAACATGTAGATTCCAGTCAAGATGGTAAATATAAATTCATGTTTTGGACTCCCACACCATCATCCCCATATCTCCATTTGAAATACAAAGCAATGATAGATGAAGTATATATTTAAAGCACAGTAAAAGTAGAGTCATAACCATAGTTAAAAAAAAAAAAAAAAAAGATAGGCCGGGAGTGGTGGCTCATGCCTGTAATCCCAACACTTTGGGAGGCTGAGGCAGGCGGATCACCTGAAGTCAGGAGTTCAAGACAAGCCTGGCCAACACGGCGAAATCCTGTCTCTACTGAAAAATGCAAAAATTAGCCAGGCATGATGGCAGACGCCTGTAGTCCCAGCTACTCAGAAGGCTGAGGCAGGAATAACTGCTTGAACCCAGAAGGCAGAGGTTGCAGTGAGCTGAGATCAAGCCACTGCACTCCAGCCTGGGCAACAGAGCAAGACTCTGTCTCTCTGTCTCAAAAAAAAAAAAAAAAAAAAAGATAAACATCTCCATGAACCAACAACAGAAACTCTGAGTGGTGCACATAACTGAAGCAATAGGCAAAGGCAGCTGGAAGGTCAACCTCCAAAAGGTACAAGTGTTCCCACTAGAGAGGAAGGCAGGCAAAAAAGTCTGCTCACTGCCTGAGACCATCACCTGGACTGGCTGGTGGCCTTCATTGCACATCACTTACTTTATCAGAATACTGTAGTGTCTCCAATACTCTCTACATCTAAACATTACTGTTTCCTTTTTCCAAGGTTCCCTTTCAGTGCATCCCTGACTTAGACGGCAGACAGCAGCTCTCTTTACATACTCTTCTTTCATGCCTTCTTATCTCTTACCTCTATGCTTTCTTCCAAGCCATTTCTTATTTACAGAATATCTCTATATGGTATCACTTTTGTGATTTAACACATCTTATTAATGCCACCTTTTCTCAAGGGAGCCTTTCCCAATTACTTACAAATTGATAAGTGTTCACTTCCAAACCCTTATAAACTATCTCTTTATACGCTTTACACAACACTATCCTACAAAGCAGCAATGAAGTTACTTAGCACCCAGAATGAAGCATACAAATTACAATCTACCTTCTAAAGCCAGAGACAGAGGGAACATAAGCATAAATAAAAAGTAATGCAAGTGTATTATTCATTCATATTTACTGTGCAAAATGAAAGTTTTATGAAGCCTTGAGTTATACATACATACATATATATATTCTATTATATAGGCAACTAATCCTCTGTAAATGGTACTGTATCAGTATCAACACCCTCCTTAGTCTAGAATTTAAGGACGTGAAGGGAAGGTATTGAAACTTCTATGAGAGGGATAGGTTTAAGTTCTCTGAAAGGCTTTCCTGCTGCAGGCCAACTCAGTCCTTAGATCCATGACAACAAATGTAATTCTTAAAACATTGCTGGGCTTTGGAGAACACAGAGCAACTAACAAGGGACTAAAAAATGGTAGAAGAAGGAGGAGGAATAAAGAGGGAAGCGGAAAGGAGGCAGAAGACAAGTGAGCCAAAAGCTGATCCGTGAGCACCATGCAAAAGAAAAATCTGCAGAATGTCAAGGAGGTGATGCCAATACCAGCCCCGAGTCCTCATCCATGGTAAGTTTAGGGAACTGAACCTGAATTTCCATTAATAAACCAGAACCCTCAACGGAGCTAAAGTGATCTCAATCAAGAGCATTCCTAGACTCCTGGCAAAAGCAAACACCAATCTTCCGGGAGAAACCAGGAGACCAGGAGTTTGGGACCAGCCTGGGCAACATAGGGAGACCCTATTTCTACAACAAATTAAAAAAAAAAAATTAGCTGGGCATAGTGAGGCAAACATGTTATTCCAGCTACTCAGGAGGCTGAGGCAGGAGGATCACTTGAGCCCAAGAGGTCAAGGCTGCAGTGAGCTATGTTCACACCACTGTACTCCAGCCTAGGCAACACAGCAAGACCCTGACTCAAATAATAATAATAGTAAGTCCATCCAAAAATCTAGAACTGCACTTCACCATATTAATACTCAAGAAGAATCACTGTCACCTCAATCAAGTTTTTTCAAGAAAAAAAATTTAGAAACTTCAAAACCCGTGTATGATTTTTTTAAACAAATCTCAAACTAGGAACAGAAACAAAGTTATTTGATTTGTTATAAAATCTACCAAAAAGTTACAGAAAATATTACTCTTAATGTTTCACATTAACAAAACTCTTTATATCAAAAATAAGATGACCCTTTATCACTCCCATTTACCAATGTACTAGAAGGCAGAGTCAGGGCAGAAGGCAGACCAACCGGCAAGTATGTCCATTCCTTACAGACAATCTGACTGTCTACCAAGAAAACAAAAAACCTGTAGACAAAATGTAGGAATTAAATCACATACATTCACGTAATCCAACAGTAGGAATGAATAAACTTGAACTAAATTTAAAAACATGGATAAATCTTAGAATTAATGTTGAGGTTAAAAGCAAGTCAAAGGTGATTATGTACCATAGGAGACAATTTCTATTATACTCAAAACCAAACAAAACCACACAAGAAATTACTTAAGGTACAAATAGATGTGGTAAAGCCATTTTTTAAAAGAAAGAGAATGATAAAATGCAGGGGAGTGACTGCCACAGAGGTGAGAAAGGATGGTGGAAGAGCACTTAAGTAGCTTTTAGTTGCTAAAACGAGGAAGGGGGAGGGTGTCAAGAGTATGTGCTTTATTACCATGCTTCCTAACTTATATGTTACAGATCCTTTAACCATTACATAAACAAAATAATTAAGTCAATAAAATAGTTCAAACAAATGATGGTCAGTAGATTCATATTTAAGTAAAACACTTACTTAAAGCTCCTATTAAAAACAACTCATTTACATGGGTTTCATTCAAAGGAGGGTAACCACAGAAAACATAATAATCACTACAGAATATGCAGTGAATCAATGTCTGTACTGTGGAAAAGGGGTACAGCTCTCAAAGGAGAGAAAGGGGAACCAGGGTTATTGAGCACTAGTCATGAAGCCAAGTCCTGGGCTAGAAGTTTCCCATATCTTTTCTTTTTTCCATAAACCCCGAAAGCCCCTCACCGTAAGCCCCTAGAGAACTCTCCTACTGCAGGAGATCTTTCCTACAGTGGCTTCCCCCTCCAGCCAGCTCTATCTGTTCACATCAGGCCTTTCCTTTACAGCCATAAAAGTTTATCCTTTTACACCAACCTAAGCGTACACCTCTTAAACCACAAATAATTTCTCAAAAATCAACAATGAACTTTCAGAACCTATCATTCAGTTCTGAGTGTGTTCTCCAGGTAGGTACCCGAAATCTGGCCACTTATCTAATATTTGGACAAGAAAGACTTTAAGCTTAATAAATCAAAAACCACACCCAAACATCGTTTCAACTTTGAAGATATGATCAACGCACACAGATATACAGATGCATAAAAAGATCATAACCTCACTAGTAGAAAAATATATATTAAAAATGAGTTTCTGCATGTCAGATATATACATCATATATGTGTGTATATATATAAAAGACAAATCATCTCCAATGTTAGAGTACAGGAAATTTACCTAAGACTTATATATTAGTTTACATAACATTTTTGGGTATTTTTGCTTTTTGGATTTTTTTTTACTTTTTACAGGGCAGTTTCTCAGTGTGAATACATGACCTTTTGGAGAGCAATTCAGCAATATCTGCTATTTCAGATGTGCATACTCTTCCATCTAATAATTTCACATCTAAGTGTCCATACAGGAAAAATTCTCCCACGTTTGCAAAAAAAGAAAATCACAAGAAAATTATTTGCAGCACTGTTTGTAAAAGTGGGGGGGTGGGAGGAAGGAAGGAAAGAAGGAAATATATGTCCACCAATAGCTTTTTTATTTGTATTCAAATAAAATTAAAGATCAAAAATACTTTATTTCCAGTAAGAATTAAAAAAGCAAAATGAATTAATCAAAACTTACTTCAAAAAGGAAGAGGATGGAGTCCAGCTCCTCCCTTTGTGACTTATTATTCCCTGGAATATTAAAAAATAATTAGTTATCATGACATCGTTTAAACTTTAGGACTTTACAAATTACACTAAAAGGCAGCTTAAAACTAGTAAGCCTCAACATATATTCATTTATTCAAAAAATAGCAAGAGGCAGTGTGGAGAGCCCATTAGGATTCCAAACAGGCAACTGAGCCAGACTGCTTGGGTCCACACGTGGTGGAGCTGCCCCCCACTAGCTGTTAAACACAGCTTCCATGTTTTCCAAGTCGTTATCAAACTATGATGGGTAATTTATTCATTTCTCAACCAGTTACTTATTGGCTTAAATTATGGCAGAATGCACAGCACAAACAAAGAAAAATTTCTAACTTGGTAATATAAATCATAGGGCAGATAACTATAAAAGTAGTATATCTTTTTGGGCAACTGCACACTGTCCTATTGATAGTAACAACAGTAATAAAACTTACAATGCCTGCAGCAGAGGTTACCATTTTTTGTCTTCTCTCTGCGTACCAAGCATTGTGCTAAGTGCTTGGCCTACATCATTTAATGCAGAAATCAGCAAACCTTTTCTATAAAGGATCAGATATTAATATTCTAGGCTTTGCAGGCCTCTCTTAGAAATACTCAAATCGGCAGTTACAGTACAAAATCAGCCACAGACAATACATAAACAAATAGATATGGCTATGTCCAATAAAACTTTATTTATAAAACAGGCAGCTATAAGCTATTATGTATTATTTATAATACATAAATAAATGGATATGGCTGTGTCCAATAAAACTTAATTTATAAAACAGGCAGCATAAGCTGTATACCCCTGATCTAACTGAACCCCCACAGCTCAACAAAGACATTCACCAGAATGTTTACATGCCAGGGATCATTCTAAGCCTGAGGATACAGCACCCGAAAGGTAATATTCTGGCAGGAGAGGCATTCTATAAATGAGTAAGTGAAGCCAAAAAAGATGGTATGCAATTTTGACTGGGGAAGTCAGAGAACATCTCGCTGGTACGGTAACATCTGAGAAAAGATCCTTTGAGGTTAGGAGGTAAGTCATATGGAAATGCGGGGGTTTGGAAGCAAGCCACGCGGAAATTTAGGGGAGGTGTGTTCCAGGCAGAGCAACTGGACAGTGCAAAGTCCCTGTAGCTGAGCATGTCTGGCACAGTAGGAAAACAGCCAGAGGCCCTTAAGGCTGGCGCACACAAAGGGGAGAGCTGGCTCAGCTGAGGCTGGAAAGTAGGTGAGGCAAAGGAAGGCAGATTAGGTGAGGCCTGAGCCAACTGTAATGACTAGCAATGAGAACCCGCTTGAAAGTTCAGAAAAGCCAAGAATCATGATTTGACTCATATTTATAAAGGAGGACTCCAGCTGCTCTTTTGACAAGAAACTATGGGATAGAAGAGGGCACAAGTGTGGAGATGGGAGACCATTTCTGTGGCTACTGCTATAATCCAGGTGAGAATATCAGGAGTTTCAGTGTTACCAGTGTAGGCAATGAGAACAGGCCAGTGATTCTGGATGTATTTTGAAGATAGAACCAATAACTCCGGAGTTTTGGACTGAATAACTGCAAAGACTGAAGTTATCACAAGATGATTTCATTATTCCTAGCATTTTCTTTTATTCCTTTTTTGGGGTACACTGTCTTCCCTGCACTCCAATCAAACATAGATTATACTAAAAGCAAAAAACTTCAAAAATCTCACCTGTTTTTATTGGTTCTTCATTATGATTCTTTGCAGTAGATTGCAAAAATGGCCACAATCAAAGGCCACCACAGTGCCTCATCCTGAATTTCTTCTGCTCCATGACTGACCACTGCCTCTGTTCTACAGGAGCAATCAGGGTATCTGACAAGGGGTCCCTCAGTTTATCCTCTCTACCTCAAAATGTCTCCATTATCTACACTATCATCTCATCTGCTTCTCCTTACATTGAAAGGTCACCTGTACACTCCTCTCCGTGTCTCTTCTTTTTCCTTGACCTGTCTCAACCCACTTCCCCCAACATCGGCATCTTCAATTATCTTCCCCTCCAGCTGACCCACTCCTCAGCCTGCAAATAGGCCAATGCATTCCTCAATAACTCTCCCATGACCAGAGTGAGATACAATGTGTGCCTTCACATCAAACTTTCTGAAAGGATATTTTCATGGGTCACCTTCACCAGCTCACCATCCTGTGACTCCACGTCCATCTGTCTGGATTCCAACCAGCTCCTCACCTAGCATCTTTCTCTCAGCACTCACTGACAACCACGCTGATGAGTTCTTACCGCCCAGCCCAGCTGCACCTCATGCACCAACAGACTGACCCTGTGTGCCTTCAACTCTCTCTTCCCTGGGCCTCTCTGACAACTCTTTCCTGGCACCCCTCCCCCAACTCCATCGCTTTTCTTTGCATATACCCAATAAAATAAGGAATTATCTAAAAGTTCTGACCATCACTGTCTTTCTCTTAATATACTTTTTCCCTTGGCAACAGCATGATTTCACCTCTTTTCTCCCAAGTTCCAGTCACCTATATTGTACTGCCCAGCCAAAACCTACACCAATGTGTCCCCAAGGAACCTCAAACACAGACTGCCCAAAGCCACTTTCACCCTCCTGGCTTCCAAATCTGGCTCCCCTCCAGGGTTCCTACTGCTAATGGCACCTCACAAAGCAAACTCAAGTGTCCTGAAAGCATCTTTGATTTCTCCCTTTCCCTTATAACCAAGTCTCATAGATGGCAGAACCACTGAAACGCAACACTTTTCCCTTAACTACTGCCTCCCCAGATCAGGCATCGCCATCCCTCACATGAATGACAGCAGCAGCCTTCCAACTGGTGTCCTTGCCTCTGGTTCACTTCACTTTGCAAGACACTTGTCATAGTAGCAAATGCTTTCAAGAGCTCTAACCACCTCAAGAACAAAGTCCAAACTCCTTATCCTAGAACTGAAGGCACCTTGCAAGCATTATCTAAGAGATTTGCATTTCTTGCAAATCTCTCTCACATACCTTTGCTGCAAGAAAAAGAAATGCATTTCCCGTACACGTCCTAAGAAGAGCTCTACCTTTACTCATGTTCTCCCCTCCACCAGCAGTACTGCTCTCTCACACTTGAAATCCTGCTGTCCTTCAAGGTCCATGCCCAAGGCCACCTCTTCCCCAAAGCCTCATCCACACACTCAGCCGGAAGTCATCTCTCCCACTTCCCAAGAACCACAGAAATCTGTCTAAATCTGTCTTACAGCACAACTGACTTTCTAACTTTTTTCAGTTATTTATGCACATGACTTACTTTTCTCAATGAATGAATGGTATCTACTTCATAGAGCTATGGGGATTCAGTTAGATTCAGCCCACAGACTACATGAAAATGAAAGAAGATGGTGACAGCAGCCACTACTTACTGACCATGGACTATGTACCAAACTCTGTCCTAAAATGCTAGGATACCTGTGAACCTGTTTAATGCTGACAGGAGGAAGCCGACTCAGAGAGAGGTTAATTTGCCCAAGAAGTACACCTTGGGCAAATGAGAAGGGCGGGGCCAGGTTCCCAACCCAGTCTGGCTCCTCAGGCTACACTATCCTGCCACCTAGACACAGAACAGAATCTACAATGTGATCCTGTTGGTCTGATTTTCAAAGAATATAATCACAAACATATATAAACATAATACATTAACACTACATCTGGAAGGAGATGCAGGAAACCTTTAATAGTGGTTATCTCTGCACGCAGGGCAAAAGACACCTGAGTCTTCATTTCAGACCCTTTCATGGAATCTAAAATATTTTAGTGATATGCATGTATTCTTTTTCTTTCTTTCTAAGTAAATTATTCCTTTGAAATTCATGTTTTCTAAGGGTTCCTTCTGCTATTTTTGCTAGCCATATGTTGTTCAATTAACATCTGTATAAGTGAAAGCTCCAGGGAAACAAAGATGCCACCCCGTCCACCATGCTCTCACAGCTTTGCTATAAAGGCTCAGCAAGAAACAAAGCTTTAAAATGTTTAATTTGTGGCTCATGATATACACAACTATTAAAATTCATGAACGTTTGAAAAACTACAGAAATGCTTACCTTTTAATTTCAAACTATTTTCCAGTGTTATAAAATTTTCATAGAAGATGAAATATATCTGAGAATAGTTGGTCTCAAAAAACTGCTTGAGATCACTTGCATCCACATTATCTGAAAAGAAAAAGTTTCCATTTACAACAATTCACTTTATACAATTACAAGACTTTAGAAACAACCTTCACGAAAACGAAGCCAAGTATAACTAGGTTTCATTCCCTTCTAAGACAAAACAGAACAGTATTCCTATTTGTTTATGTTCCGCCTAAGAGAGTTCACTGCACCTTGGGTACCACCCACCACTCAGCCCTGCTCAAGAGACTGTGAAGCCAATCCAGGGAGGTGGATGCTGATAGGGACCAGCAATGACAGACCAGCTAGAACGCTGGAGGTAAGTGGGGGCAGGTATGGGGAGGGACAACATGACTTTCTGTTAGGGTATGAGGAAGCAGAGGTTCATGGAGGAGGCAGTTTTTGACACAGGCTGTGAAGAGGAATGGGTTTATACCTCTGAAAAACAACTTTGCTGGTGGAGTTCCTAAATCGACCAATCTCTGCTCCCTCCCCACCAACATAACTCTCTGGGAATGAAAAGAGAAATCAGCTCAAATGAACCAGCACATGCTTCCCAACCACAGCCTTCTAGATGACCTGACCCTACTCATGTATGGACACTGTAGGGCCTACTATGTGTTCCTGGAGTTGCCCCTGTTGTAATAGACAATTTTGCTAAACCACAAACTACTGGTAGATAAGCAGGGGGTGTGCGGAACTTAGCACAGTGACAACTCCCACTGGGGCTGATTAGCAACACAGCCAGTTCTTCCAAGGGCCCTTATCAGCCTGGGTAAAACCTCACAATGCTGGGGGTCAAAGCAGTCATCCACCGTCAACACACCTTTGTGTTTTCCTCAGCAAACAAAGTTGTTTGTACCATCTACAGAGTCCTGACCAACAAGTTAGCACTTTGGGAGAATACACTAGCACCTGAGGATAAGTAATATCCGCTTCCTGGAGCCAGGATTGTAGTTCATACCTATAATCCCAGCTACTTGGGAGGCTGAGGCAGGGGGATCGCCTCAGCCCAGGAGTTTGAGGCTACAGTGAGCTATGGTTAAGCCAGGGCACTCCAGCCTGGGCAACAGAGTGAGACTCCATCTCTTAGAACAAAACGCAACAAACAAACAAACAAAAAAAAGCTCCCTTAAAATTCTACAAGGATTACTAAGAAAAAAGTATGTTGCTCTTCAATCTCTACCAGTGTGGTACCAATTCTTTTGCAGTCCTAACACTGTGACTCTATGTGAACATATACACTATGATGTTCAAATTACATAATGTTAGCAGTAACGCAGATGATTATAAAGAGTTGTTTTTCTCTGACAACACTATAAGAGCTTGTTGTGCAAAAATCTGCCCTGGCTCTTTGAAATAATGCATGTAAGGTGTTTATAAAGCCTTATGAGCTGCCAATTTCACACTATATTTACCGCACCAAAATAAAGCTGGGCACAGAGCTATGAAAATTCCTAGCGAGGAACAAATTTACTATGTGAAACAGGTAGCAATGAAACTAGTATCATCTGCAAAGGTAGATTCATTGGAAAAGAAAGAAAAAAGAAACTAGTATCATCAACTCACATGAGTATTAACATTCCTATGAGCTATACAATCGTGCCGAGGAATCCTTGAGTGCCTTGTACACAATTTGCCAGTTCCAAGAAATGAGTTCTGTACACTTCAACTCTAATGCAAACTGCTAGCCCATCTACCACTAACTGAGCCCTCTTCCTGAAGTCGGCTTAACTCAGCTGGCTCCTACTCACCCACACTAGTCAGCTGAAAGATCCCCACCTTACCCCAAGACTAGGTCCACGCCTCTGCTGTATGGCCCCCACTCTATGCTTCCTGTCACAGAACACATCACACTTAATTCTGGTGGAATTCTGATTGAATGATGTGTCTCTTCTGTTAGACATATTCCCTGCCCTCACAAAACCCACAGTCTATCTCATGAATCATCATGTCCCATGCATCTAGCACAATATTTAGTTCAATATTTTTTGAATGAATTGAGAATTCATGAATTAGCCTACACATACGAGGATAAAATAATGACTACAACTTGTAAATCTACAGGAAAGAAATGGCTTAACCCTCAAATCCTTGGGGCTATCAAAAGACAAATTTCATCTCTGCTGAGGACTCCTGATTTCCATCTGCAGCCCTGACATCTCCCACTGCAGGCTCTAGTCTCACAGACTGCTACCAGCTGATTTCTCCACGTGAGGGTCTTAAAGACCTCTCAAATTAAACGCATCCAAAGGGAAGTTCTCCCTCAGATCCCGTTCTTCCCTCAGGCTTTTCCGTCTCAGTAAGCTGGAACCACCAACCACCCTGCTGCTCTAGCCACGGCCTGGATATTATTCCTCATTACCCATCCCCAGTATGCCATTCTGTTAGCCTGCCTTTAACACCTGTTCCAGCCCTAGACTGCTTCTGCTCTGCATGGCCCTGCCTGGTCTATATGGCCATGAACCCTCACACGGGCTGTAACCTCTGCCCATTGCCTGGGTTCCCTGCTGCCACTCTTCTTCCATTCCCCATAGCAGCCAACACAAATATCTAATAGAGTCAATCAAATCAGATTACTCAGGCTACTCAAAACCTTCCACTGGCCTCCAGTAGTACTTAAAATCTGAACTCTTTACTATGGCCGATTAAGCCCTGACCAATTTCCCCCACCCGACACCAACGTCACTACATACCACTCTCCCCTTCACTCCCTATCCTCTAGCCACTGTGGATTCTTTCCATTCCCCAAACTTCCCAAACACATTCCCCACTGGGGGCCCCTGCAGGATGCTACCCCCACTCCCAGATCTTCATGTAGCTGGTTAAGTAGCAAAGTATGAGACAAAATAACAAATGTAGACACTACATTTGTTCATCCTGCTTACATAACAGCAGAACTTCACAAAATCCCTTGCCAGCAGAATTTTACAAAGCCCCTGACTCAAAGACTTGGTGCACAGCCCTTCAGAAGAATGCCCTGAAGATGATCAGCAAGATACAGCACCAGTTCCCACATCTCCAGCCTGAATCACTGCATTTTCAGAAAAGATACATTCAATTATCTCAGCCCTTGCCTCTTCCTGTACATAAGATAATATATGACAGGATTAATGATTATGCTTCTATAATCCATAACCAGATGGACCCTCACACCCAAACCTGGATAAGATTTTGCTCTAATGTAACTTCTGAGCACAATTAACATAACTTCTGAGCATGCGTAGAGCGCACCACCTGTACATAAACTGTGGGCTAAAGCACTACTTTGGAGTAGTCTAACAGACTCTCTGAAAGACTCTCCCTGGTTGCAAACCTCAGCAAGACTTCTGATTCAAACTAACTTTAATTGTTTAAAGCACCAATTCCTTTTTAGTCAACAGGTCTCATCCTCCAGAACCTGGAACACTACATGACTTCCTCAAAAAAATCTGCAAGTGCCCCCAAGTGTCACTCCATATTCCATCTCCTCCCCGGCCCTCTCCCTTGGTAGGCTCTGCAGTGAACGTGCCTCAGACACAGAAGGCCATAAGCTGGCAAACAATTTCCCTAGCAAGGAGGATGTGGGTGTGCTGATGCAGCAAGCTGGCACAGAAAGCTACTGGGAGATCAACAAGTCCCCATCTTTCCCTCCCTTATTCCCTCAGACACTCATATATCAGCAACCCAAACAAAGAGGGTCCTCATCAAGTTTAAGGAGATGAGGAGTGCCCCCCTCCGCTCCATTTCGGGGGGAAAAAATAGGTCTAACAATGGTTCTTATATCACAAGGCTGCTGTGATGATAAAATGAGCATATGTAGAGTGCTTATAAGAGCTTCAGTCAACATTACAGAAATGTTAGTAGTTTTAGAATTATTGTGCTCCTAGCAAAGGTCACTAATCCTAATACAGCAGTAAGTACTAAGAATAAACACATCCACAAAACCAATGGGATTATCCCTCTATTTCCTTCCACATATAATCCTCTTCAATAGCAATTCTACTGCTTTTTAGTTGGAAGGATCAAACAGTCTCACAAAAACCTGCTTCAGCAGACCCCTAGAAAGTGCCAAAGGAAGGGAAACAGTCCTCATCTCACTCAGGAGCCCTTGTGGGATGTTATCAAGAGGAGGAAGAAGTTCATGTTCCGTTCTCCCCTGATAGGGAATGACCTGCTGCACCTTCTATACCACCCACAGCCCTCCATTCCCACACCAGAACTAAGAGCCGTCCAAGCCCCGCCTACAGCCCTATGTGTAGCTGAAGACAGGTGTCCTTTACTATTTTACTGAAATTCCCTGGATAAGGGCACTGAAGGCCTAATGATCAAGATAACAGCATGGTGATAGGAAAAAAGAATAAGTGAGGAACGTAAGGCAAACTTGACAACTTAATGAAACAGTCATTTGGAAACATTCAATGAGAACAAGGAAAATGATGAAGTGCAAAAGAACTAGTCACACATAAAACAGAAAACGCCAACAATGATGAATGTCATTAGTAATGCACCATTACTTACTTATAGGCTAACATGATTCTGGTGATTTCACATTTAAACAACTGCCTAGGTCCCTGGGTAGTTTGTAGAAATGCTACAAATCATTCCTTCCTTTCATCCACACTTTTGGATGCTGCCTACCCACAGTGATTCAGGACTGACATCCTGACTTGCTTTGGCCAAAAAGGCCTTAAAAATGTGATAGTGGTTTCTGAGAGAGCCCAACGAAAACAAGAAAACTCATGAAGAAGAGCTGAACCCAACCCACCAGTCTGGAGCCAGCCCCAGGCAACCATCAGTGAGAAGCAGAAAGCCAATACAGACCCAACACAGTGAGGGGAAAAAAATAGATGCCTATTGCTATAAGGCTCATGGAAGCTGCTGAGGATTGGGAAGGTTTGTTATGCAACACTATTATAGAAATGTTGGTGCAGAAGAAACTCAGCACAGAACAGCTTCACCAGTCATGAGGGCCAGCAAACCTCTGAAGAGATACCCCCAAGTATAGCACATCATGCCCTCCATTAAAGAAGGAAAAGCAAGAAAAATGAATCCAAGTTACA